ATTAATAGCTGATACACTGTGGAATCCTTAGGTAAAAAGCCTGACTGATTCTTAGAAATAATGTTATATCTTGAGAGGTAATTGAACATATACTTAAAAACAATTTTTTCAAATAGCTTGCTAAATATAGGGGTAACAGATATTGGTCTATAGTTGGATGGATCACTTTTATCTCCCTTGCCCTTATAAATTGGGGTAACATGAGCATTTTTCCATCTATTTGGTAGCTTTCCGGTAGAAATAGATTTGTTGAATAAGAGATAGAGTGGTTTCACAAGAGATTGGGAAACCCCTTTTATGAATTTTGGAGGGATACTATCAGGGCCTGAAGGTTTATTAGTATTGAGTAGATCGAGCTGATCAAGAATGTCCTGTTCGGTTATGTCTATTGTTGAGAAGCTATGTCGGGGTCGGGGGCAATCAGGAGGTAAATCGTCAGCATTCTTTTCAGTTACGGAAATCGAAGTGAAATAATCGTTAAAAGATTCCGCCTTATCTATGGGGTGGATTTTCAGTTCGCCGTTGATAATCAATGGAGAGTCATTTTCGTTTTTGTTTTTGAGATTCATAACCGATTTTGCAATACGCCACCATTTTCCGTGGGGTATGGTTTTATCAATTAAAGAAGATTGAAGTTTAGATAAATATTTTTCTTTAGCTTCCCTGACTAAGGATATAACTTCATTCCGAATAGATCTAAAGTTTGCCCAAGAAGATGGAGTATTATGTAGCTTAGCTTTGGAATGCTGGCGATTTCTTTGTCTAATTTTGAGTCTGATACCATTAGTCATCCAAATTTTATCATTAGGTCTTATAGTTACTGTTTTATGGGGCACGAATAGGTCGATAGCAGTTAGGATTTTATCAGTTAAAAGAGAGTTCATATTTTCAATATCACCTTGCAATAAAAGATTCCAGTCAATGGACTTAAGATACTCATTTGCCCCGTCAAAGTCAGTGTTATTGAAGTATAATAAAGTCTTTTTATATGCATGTTTCTTTAAAGTTTTAAATTTCAGATCAGCGCTAACTGGACAGTGGTCACTACAAAAGGGAGGATGTACTATTGTATTTTTAATAAAGTTAACGTTGTTTGTTAGTATAGTGTCAAGTGATGTTGAGGTCTGGGAAGTATTCCTGGTAGGTTCAGTAAGTGTTTTCTAACCCATATTTCAACAAAATTCTATGTAGATGTGAGTTTGGATTTAGATGTAACATGTCTTGATTTATATCACCTACCAGGACTACTTCCCTTTGCAGATCAATAATATTATTTAGGTTAGTATCTAGCCTGTCCCAGTAGCCAACGAGAGAGTTAGGGGGTCTATATATACAGCCAAAAAGAATAGGTTTATTATGGGTAGTTACTTCAGTCCATATTAATTCAAGATCATCTGTCTCAAGGTCAGGTCTACGTTTAATATTAATATTATGTTTAGTATACATCAGAACTCCGCCACCATAATTATCTCTATCCTGTCTGAAAATATTACCAAAGTTTTCCAAAGATACAGCACTATCAGAAATTGAATTATCAAGATGAGTTTCAGAGACGCACATTATATCGTATTCGGAGAATTCAGCATCAAGAATATGAGTTTTGTTCCTTAACGAACAAATATTGATATGACAAATAGAAATAAAATCTAGGTGGATGTGGGAGTTGGGTTGACCGGGGTTCGGGTGAATATCACCGCATTTGGATAATATATATAATAAAATAAAAATGTAGTGCAAATTCAGAGAGAATAGATTCAGAGAGACACTAACGATACATAAACATTTATAAAGTAGTGAGGCATTCCCTGCCGTTACAGCACCAAGATATTTATTTTTTTCCATTGTCAAAAAGGAAACGAATATGTAGAAAATACATCCTGGTAGAATAAGAGCAGAGAATGACACAGACAGGTTTTAAGGAAAATACACGGGATATAACAACATTTAAATTTTGTAAACAAGATTGACATGTATAACTGTTTATATTCTGAAATCACAATTTGCCTTGACGAAGTAAACACATTGACAAATGAGAACAAAAAACAATATAAAAATTAATGATAAACATAAACATTATTTACATTAACCTTTAGGTTCCATATAAAAAATGACTGTGATACAAAAATGAAATGTAAGAAAAAACAGTTATATAAATATCGATTGACCCGCCTCACTGACCCCTTAACTTCTGTTTAAATATAATGTAGTAGCACATTGGATCCAAGACTCTTTAATTGACCAATAGCTCTATTGGTTAGAGCGTTGGTATATCAATCTGAAGTTCCGGGCTAGAATCTTGGACTAGCCCTGCTGATGTTATTTAATCTCAAAACACTGCTGTCAATTTCACCTTGTTTATGCCGTTTATATGTTTTTCTCATAAAAGCCTTGCAAGGAGATGATTTATCAAAGCAGTAATCATGCCAGACAAACAGCTTCCAACCATCCAGATTTCAAACAAAATTGAAAAAACCATTACAATGCAGACGATGATGTTCATCGTCACTATGGAAGCTGAAACAGAAATAAAAGGTTCATTGTAAGTCATTGTGATCTTTTATTACTCAACCACAATGTTTTTCGTATTGTATCACCCATTCACTTACTACATAGTCTGTGATATGTTCTTGATAATTCATTACAATTAGCCAGATTGTACACATAAGTAGTTCTCAAAAACTAATGCAGGCCGGTTTCCAACTGAATAATGATCTGCTGATATATCCTTAAGTGGGATCTCCTTAAATTTATAAATACTGGTAATACACATATCTGATGGAATAATTCTGTGTTTGGTTATCATTTAATACAAAAAAAAAAAAATATTGGTCAGTACAACTTTTCAAACCTGTTTTAAAATTTGAAAACTAAAAAGAAAAAAAAATCGTATTATGCAAATATTCTTATTAAAATGACGTTGTTAATGTTTTTATTTGATCCAATTTGGATGCGTTTAACACTTCAATTATGGGCTTTTGTGATGGAGATGTTAAATAAATCTTAACAAATAAAATTGACCATAGAGCGGTAGCCAATCCAAGGTCAACATTACACCATCATGTTCATATCACATTTCCCATCACATAAAATATCTATTATAAACACTCATTTCATAGCACCTGGTGGAGCTGTGATTTGCTATACATTATCACGAAAGTTTAGATTGTGACATCACAATTTCATCGCCACTTACCTCAGACACAAAAATGCGATGTATCATCAATTAACGATTCAGTTTTAAATTATTGTTTTACAAAAATATTTAAAACAAGTCCTAGTTATATGATACAAAAGCAAGTCACATCTATTTTTATCCTGTGTCCTCTGTTTGGTCATACCGGAATACCCAAAATTGGTCTGCCATTCGTATTTCTTTAAAATCAATCTCGGTAATGAATAACTGTTCACCCTTGGTCAATAAGTATGACCTTACAGGATGTCTTGCTGTATAGTAACATAAACAGCAAGGAGACAACTTAAACGACGGTATCACTAATCAATTCATATGAAATCTAACATGTAAATTCCTTTTATAAAACAGTATCATGATAGGGAATTATTTGTTCGAATAGCAGTACGTAATAGAGAGTTAAAATAATATGAATCAGATAAAACTGTATATTGAAACCAAGAGTAGGTAAACGGATACATCATTATTTGTTATTTATTGTTATATTTTTTGTAATACATCTGTCATGTCTATTAAACGTATATTAACATAGTAGACAACATGTATATAATAATTTAGGGGTGTACGTAAAACGAGCACATATCTGTTCTAAAAACATCAAAGATTTCTATTTACAAAATATTTAAAATAAATCGTTTTACGACTTACATGTACTGCAGTGATTGAGGTTGGTAGCCACACACACCGCAATATCGAAAGCACACAAACCGATCGTAAGGACAATACTTTTATGGTTCTTGGAAGTGTTTTCTGCAACAAAAAATATTTAGATAGCCACTGGCAGTTCGCTTTCTTGTTCGATTTCCTCGTGGAGTTCTCTAGATTTAAAAGACTGAACTTATATAACGGACTATGCTATCTTCAAACTATCATCATTCAGTTAACAAAGGCATTCACACATGCTCGAGCATAAGTATGTGTGCGTGTGTGTGTATATTTGAGTGGGGTGGGGGTGGGGGTTACGTGCGTGCTTTTGTGAGTATGTGAGTGAGTGAGTGTTTCAATTGCAAGGTACACGAAGTGAAGTAGAGGATATAAATACCTCACTTAATAATTTATTTATTTATAAAACTGAAACTGATAAATAATTACATACGTTCAAGCACGTACGGGGATGCTGCGTGTGTGTGTGAGGGAGGGTGTGCGTTTGGTTGTGAGTGGGTGTCAGGGAGTGTGCCTGTTGGTTTGTGTGTTCATGCCTAAACAAGAACTGTTCAGTATGTCGTAATGGACATCGTTGTCGTTGCGAATTATTCTTCGGTTATGAATATTTAACTGTTGGTTTCTTATATTTATTTCAATATCAACAAATCCAATAGTGTCTTCACTGTCTCTTTAAATAACGCCACATTTAAATTAAAAAAAAAGACTGAAATATACCACATGTACCTTTTCTAAGATGAACCAGTGGTAGAGCGGCAATAGCAACAACAAAGGATAAAACAGCTAAAGTTGTTGTCAGGTAAGAGAGCCAGAGCCAATCTGAAACATAAGAAGGGTAAGAGAGCCACACTATCATATAAAAGGAAGGTAAAAACGAATATTGTTACTGTCAGGTCGGAGAGCCACACTATCATATAAAAGGAAGTTAATAACGAATATTGTTACTGTCAGGTCAGAGAGCCACAATATCATATAAAGAAGGAAGGTAATAACGAATATTGTTACTGTCAGGTCAGAGAGCCAGACTATCATATATAAAGGGCGGTAATAACGAACACTGTTACCGTCAGGTCGGAGAGCCACACTATCATATAAAAGGAAGGTAATAACGAATATTGTTTCTGTCAGGTCAGAGAGCCAGACTATCATATGAAAAGGGCGGTAATAACGAACATTGTTACTGTCAGGTCAGAGAGCCACACTATCATATAAAAAGGAAGGTAATAACGAATATTGTTTCTGTCAGGTCAGAGAGCCACACTATCATATAAAAAGGTCGGTAATAACGAACATTGTTACTGTCAGGTCAGAGAGCCACCCTATCATATAAAAAGGACGGTAATAACGAACATTGTTACCGTCAGGTCGGAGAGCCACACTATCATCTAAAATGGGAAGTAATAACGAGTATTGTTACTGTCAGGTCAGAGAGCCACACTTTCATGTAAAAAGGGAGGTAACAACGAATATTGTTACTGTCAGGTCAGAGAGCCACACTATCATCTAAAATGGGAAGTAATAACGAGTATTGTTACTGTCAGGTCAGAGAGTCACATCATCTTATAAAAAGGGAGGTAATAACGAACATTGTTACTGTCCGGTCAGAGAGCCACACTAAAATATAAAAAGGGCGGTAATAAAAGGCATCGTTGATTTAAGGTCAGGGAGTCAGAAGAACATACAAGCTACATGTACGTAAACAATGATGTATTTATTTACGATATATTTATGACAATAACATGTTTCTTTTTCCATATTAGGAACTGTACCACCGCGCAGTTTCAAGACCGTAGCACTGGCGTTTATAGGTAAAGATTATATGGCACAACCAGATTTTATTATTGTCAAAACATAATCACATATACCTTTGTGATATTAAATGCTTGCATTAAGTTCTTGATTATACCAATTAAACATATCTTTTTGTATTATTAATCCTTATGTATTTTGAAAGAAAGAACTTTCACCAAGATGTACCTTGTTCTTATGTTTGGTGTTCAAATAAGATATTCAGGTTAATTCATCACATACATGGGTTTGACTGTCCATTTACATTATATACTCCTCACAATAAACTTCATTGATACCCTACACATGTACAAATCATTTAAACCGTACACATGTCCAAACCATTTAAACCCTACACATGTACAAACCATTGAAACCCTACACATGTACAAACCATTGAAACTCTACACATGTACAAACCATTGAAACCCTACACATGTACAAACCATTGAAACCTTACACATGTACAAACCATTGATACCCTAAACATGTACACATCATTGTTACCCTACACATGTACAAACCATTGATACCCTACACATGTACAAACCATTGAAACCCTACACATGTACAAACCATTGTTACCATACACATGTAAAAACCATTGATACCCTACACATGTACAACTATTAATACACAACACATGTACAAACTATTGATACCCCACACATGTACAAACCATTGATACCCCACAAATGTACAAACCATTGATACCCCACAAATGTACAAACCATTGTTACCCTACATATGTACAAACCATTGATACTCTACCATTTGTACCCTATAAAGCATGCATGAAATTTTAGCAAAATCATATATTTTAATACAAACTTATTTCTTATATTTATAGATAAATATGTTAATTCTTTAAAATAAAATAAAAGGAAATTTTACTTACTACAATCTTTTGTTTCTGTATCTGAAACGACAAAGAAAATGGTTGCAATCCAACCTATATCTCAATAACCATTACTTGATGAGTTAAAACATATTTAATAATGAATATTATTAACGATAGTTTGATCCAATACTCGATCCGAACATATGTCTGTTGGTTGCATGTTATTTAAGAAAAACGATAATGAATGAACTTATATATCACAACATATAACAGATGAATAGTCATTATGAAACAATACAACATAAAATACATAAAAAAATCACAGTAATCATTTTTAAAAGAATTGCCTTATAATCACATATCCCCTCTGTTAGATTGTAACCGAAGGTTAATAATTGTGCAAACTAATTTGAACGCTAGTAGTATCGGTCATAATTTATGTATTTCTATGTTTGGTAATTCGGGATTATGTAAAAAAAATAACACATTTGAGAAAGAGATTGAGGCTCATACTCTCTAAACCTTGAAAGGTGTATCAACACCTTGCCGAGTTTTACCAAAGAGTGATATGATATGAGTGTCTGGTCATAATAACAGACCCCATAACGTAAACATTGTATCTATAGGACAATACGAACAGACTTAAACATTGAATTATGTACTCCTTTGTGTGTGAAAAGAGAAACTTACCTTGGGGTACTGGCGGTTTACTTTGGATGTTCACGACTATCTCCACGGATATGCTGCTAGTCCCTAACCTATTAGAAGCGGTACATATGTAAATTCCTCCATCTTGCGGCTGAATATTTTGAATTGAGAAATTGTATATCCACCCAACGCTGGTGATGTTGTAAGCGGAACTGCGCACCATCTGCGTTGATTGGTTACCTTCATTTGTACAGAGGAGGTTATCCACAATTGGTGTTGAAGTCACCCATACGGACACAGACGTGTTGTCCCCGACGTCATATCTACTTATACGTCCGCCAAACGGAAAGTACATTTCTGGCGGTACTGGAACATATATTAAGGTATCAGTCAAATGTAAAAGTAATTATTCATTTTTTTATTAATATTTATCAATATGTCAAAGTATTTTTTGGAAATTACTTCAACTTATATTTATCTACAACCTTGATTCGGATTTAAATCATTTATGACAAAGATGATGATTGAAAACTGCTTGCCTTTGTTCAATAAGATTCATCAGTTTGGAAATATGTGATATCAAAGATTCACTTTCTTCACAAACAATGTACGTATTAAACGTGTCGCAACGTTTCAAGAGCGACTGGTCCTCTTTGATAAGCTATACCTTTTTTTCATTACTTGTAAATGAAAAATACTGAAACATATTATTTATAATTTCTGCGTTCATGAGTCCAGATAACCAGCAATTACGAATACAAATTTTAAGAAAACATTTTGAGAAAATATTCCCCCATTTAATTAAGATACTAAAAAGTAAAATTGTTAAGATTAGTGCATGGTTGTAATGTATATTTACGCACAAAATAGAGAATATTGACATGATCAAAAGGATACATAAAAACGTCACTACGAGATAATTATCATTTTTTGTGATTGTTTCTAGTATTTGCAGCTCGAGTGTTACACAATACAAATGTATATCAAAATATCCCCTCTCTCTAAACATACTCACTGTCAACAGTCAAATGCAAGGTGCTTTCTCCTATGCCTTCGCTATTTTCTGCTTTACATGTGTAGTATCCGCTATCACTGGCACTTGCATTATATATGGTGTGTGTGATCACACCATCTGATGACACATCTGAAATAACCTTTGTTACTTTTCCTTGCATATCTTTAAAATGAAAACCTGATGCAATGGGCGTCGGATTCCCCTCAACTCTGCATGTCAGATTGTATGGATGTCCAGCATCAACGTTGTCGCTCTCTTTTGCCATGGTAACGATAGGTTTTGCTGCAGTACAAATAGATAACGGCGATGTAATTGGCCACATGTATACATCTAGAATCTAAGATAATTACTCATTGATATTTGGTTAACAAAACTCGTTATATTTTTTTAATCTAAATGGGCTTATCTGCTGTTAAATAGCAACCTTCAGAACAAGTTTTATGGAAAATCTTCGAAAAGTATTTGTGAAAATTAATAAATGCAAAGAATGAACATGAATTAGTACATTAGTACATATTCTGTTCTGAAAAGGACGACAAAGAACGACGCTTGTAATATGACTCACTAGTGACAAACAATGTGACATTCTCGACATTTGACAATCCAATTCGGTTGCTCACATACAGTTGATAGGTCCCTTGGTCTGACAGTTCAAGTTTACTGATGTTCAAATAGGGGTTTGGCATTGTTCCGACAAGGTATTTTCCTGGATTCGTAATTCCTGTTAAAGAACTAGCGATGTCATAGGAGGCAGTTGTATCTATGAACCTCCAGAGAAACTCTTGCAACACAGAGTCACTGTATATTGTCGGCAGTAGAGTTAGATCATCCCCTTCCTTTTTCGTATAAGATGGTGGATATAAGGACACATCCGGTACAGCTAAAAGTAAGACTTTCATATTGAAATGTATCACATTGTTTCAAGAAAATGTCATATTAGAAAACATTTGACATTTAAAGATAATATTTTTGATATCTACAACAGCTTTTCAGTTTTTTTAAATCCTCACTCTTTTCTTTATATAATTCAATTTTAATCCAAGATTTTTAAACCATCTCAGCAATACGATGAAGTTATTTCTTAAAGTTCAAAATAGTCGTTGCTGCATTGAAAGTTATTTACAACGGACCTCTAAAATGTATGAACTTTGCTGCAAATGACTGGTTGAAAAGCGTTTCATAGCTTTACTTTGAAAACTAATGCAGTATTTTGTAAAGGGGAGATTATTATGACGCCACCGTTGTAAGTCTATTGGGACATCATTTTGAGAGACATATTTGAAATAACGACATGATATTTTTGAGATTTTTGTTTTTCATGTAAGGCTGCAGTTTATTGAAGAGCTTAATAGGATAGGTAGGTAAAGTTATGATGAAGAAGAAACAATATTGATTGACAATGTTTACTGAAAAATGAAAGGAAATTTAAATGAATATGCATTCCAGTTATATGTGAGGTGTTGATTAAAATGGTTATTAGAATAATAATAAATTTTGCAAAACAAGATATATAGGGAATAACCTTAATGAATTTCGAAATTTTTGGCGGTATATCGTGATAATACTGTCGCAAATTGAGTTTTACTGGTCACGCAGAGCAGAGTCAGTAAAACGGATATTCCAAATTTCAAATCACAGTAAGGTTATCCCTATCATAAATCATATAAGACAAACATTACCAAAAGAAACTGTGATTTTTTAATATATTTGAGTGTTTTCTTAAAATTCTGGGTCACCCTGCCATGGATTGGTGACGTCAGGAATATTAAAAGTGAGGCGAAATTTAAGGGTGGTTTGTTGTGGTTTTACTGTCGCAAATTATTTTATTTACCGATCAAATGTGTTATAATGTATATCCCAAATGAAACAATAGTTTGAATCGTGCTTGGTACATTCAAAGCCTCGTGTCTTTTAGAGCCCACAACGGTCACCACGTGAAACTTCATTCAGCACCATTCTTGAAATTCTTGTCGACAAATAGCATGGATAGTTTCAAAAATCAGTACCGTTTTTACGTGTGCAGGGTTTCTTGCAAAGATCGACTTCTTCGAAGGAAAACATTGAGGTCACCTGTCTATAGTTGCAAGTTGCGCTTGTTTCATTGCTTTTACACGGCGCACAAACATCAGTGCCTTTGTCTTCTGTACAGAATATTATGGTTCCTTAAAATAAGAGTATTGACATTTGTACGACATACTGTGAAATCAGATATTTTTGCTGGGATCCAATTTGGAGGTTTTCCGAAAAAACTTCTACTTCATGGGTATAAAAGTTCGAGGATTACGAGAACCCGCTGTCGCTGGGAATTGCTTTATGCCAAACTATTAACTACTTCGATTTCGTAGACCTATGGATTCGTTAATGATGATAACATGTACCCACATAATTATCGAAATTAAAATAAAACCAACGAAAAAGAGTGATTTCACAGTATTCAGAAGGAATTTAAAATGTGTGTGATATGGTCAAATTATCCTTTAAAGTATAATTATCACAGTATGAATTTTACTTCGATCTTCATAATTATTCAACTATTCTTTACAGATATTATTTCATTACATTAACAACATTTTTTTCTGATTACAGTTCAAATGGAAACAAATTAAATTTATGCTAAGACTTCACCATAAGAAGTCTTTAAGTTGGAGCAAATAGACCTTAACTGAGCAAACAAATAAGTAAAGCACCATTAATAAAAAAAAATACAGACATAACCTTGTAAATAAAATGAAAAGAAACGAACTATATATTATTAGGTTACCTCCCTTGATAAAGATCACATGTCATTCAATACGTAACATTTTAAACCACTGAAATATGAGAAATTAGAAAAGTATCAATTTGATCGAAAAAATGTTTTTTGGTTGAAGTAGATTGGCAATGAAATGAATGCGCAATATTGTTTTTTTTTGCTACATTATTATTTCTTATAAATATACATTATTTACCTCCCGTACAATTTGTTGGATAGCAGCAAACTAATTGTTCACCCCCAGGAAACTGCACGCCAGTTACGCGATGGGGTACTGTTCTTTTACCGACCTTGCCGTTACAGTCAAACCCAGAAAACTTCGGATGGACATCCTGCAACAAACGTATATCGATAACTTTACACTGATATTCGTTATTGTTGATTATAACATCGCGTAGAAAAAAATGGTTTAAAGGGAAATATTTCTAAACATTTTTTCCAAGCTATACCCGAACATATAATATATTATGTAATGTAAAACCTGTTTACCTGACCACCTCTTTTCATAGACCATTTGTGTTAAGATCCTTTTTTTTCATGTTCCTCGTTGAAGTAATTTCATTGTGAGCTGAACCTGGATGTATGTGGAGACTATCTATGTAAATAAATGTTTAAACTTCTCGAATGTTGTCTCTTAATCTAGAATTTTTGCTGTTGACTTCAATGAACAGTTTTGGTTTGGTTTATGGTGTCGTGAATGTGCATGCAATGTGATACACGTTAATAGTTAATGCATTTACCGGAATGCAGGACAAAATCACCTATTAAGATTTAGCTTACATATTAAAATACCAACGAGAACGATCGAAGAATGAGTCATTCTCCCACCCTTCACAGGTGTGTCTCCCGTTTTAGCCGGGAAAGATCAGCTTGTCACACCCTAGGTGGAGATAGCCTCGTACCGATTAGCACGTGTTCAATTGTGACGTCATTAAAATGCGTCATCGGTAATTGTGACGTCATCAATAGTGAATGACGATGGGCATACCCCACATGTGTTTTTGTTTACAAACATAGCAGACTACTGTCGGTGGAGCTGTGACTGAAATAATAGGATGGGAGAAAAATAATCATCCCCTACCTTGAGGGTATAACAGAGAAATCTCAAACCCTCGGGGTGATTTTTTGGGTTGTCTAACCCTCGACAGAGCATCGAGTTAGACAACCAAAAAGACATCACCCCTCGGGTTGGAGATTTCTCTGTCACACCCTCAAGGTTTTATTTAAGAGTTTTACCCAACTCCCATGTTTAAACTATATTTTCTATCGATGTATATATATGTTTGGTTCATACAACTAAATAGTGGAGTGTACCTAGTTTTGTTTGCACACTGAATATATTCCCATATTTAACAGGTGAAAATCCAATGTCAGTGTCACACTTTCATCATTTAATAACAGGAACACTTAACTTTATCATTTGAAGGTTAGCGACCGTGTCTTTCCTAAGATGCAGGTGAGATTATGGACAAGTTTTACGAAAACCATTTCGATCTCATTGAGAAATAAGCTACATTGTATGTCTTTGTGTGATATAGTATGTTTGTTTGTGTTTTACGTCCTTTTAATAGCTATGGTCATTTAATGACATGCAAGGTTTTAGTGGCGGAGGAAAGCCGGAGTTCCCGGAGAAAAAACATTGACCTAGGGCCAGTACCTGGCGACTGCCGCACGTAGGTCTCGAATCTGCGACCCAGTTGTGGACGGCTAGTGGTAGCAGAATGTCAGACGCCTTAACCACTTGGACACCGCGGCCCCTTGATATAATATGATTGTTGATGTTTTTGATAATTTTCATTAGTGTTCTTTATTGCTTTGTTGTTACTATCCCAGTTTTCATTAAGAGGACGTGACATTGCTCGGACTGGACCTAGATTATTTACATGTCGGGTGCCCACGATGAGTCAGAAGACGCTCACTGTACCAGAACCCCTGGCCTTATTTTTTGGTAAGATTTCATAGATCTCCATGTTATGTTTTCCTTTGTTCATGTTTTGCCTCTTCTATTTTTTTTATATGGTATTGTTGACACTTTTTTTTAAATTATATTTTCAAAATGTTATGACATAAACATATATATACTGTTCAAAATATTCCATCAAGTATCAGTATTCGTCTTACATATATATTAACAAATAAGTATTGTTGACACTTGACTATTTCTTTCCGTCTATTTCCTCTGTCTATCAAGTTGTGTACATATGTATCAGTATATTTATGCACGAGATTACCAATGCAAACAAAAGTATCATTTAATGAGAGGCAATGCATTTCCAAACTCACGTTCAATCTCAATACTCATAAGACTTCTAACTAATATAGAACCTGTGTGTACACCTTGTATATGTTTCTGATAATTACTTTTAAAGATAGCGCCTAGAAGATTCTGTTAATTTGTACCCGTCATAAATTATATACAATTAAAGATAGCACCTGTGATATTTCTGTAACCTATTTCCCTTGTTGAGTTTCTGATGTATAATTAAAAGATACCATCTGGAATATTTCTTTTTAAAATTGTTACCCCCGTATGAAATTCTGAAATAAAATTCTGAAATAGCGCCCGAAATAGTTTTACCTCTTATATATGTTTCTCAAAAACAATTATAAACTAGTGTCTGGAATAGATATTCATTGAAAAATGAATGTTTTGTATAACTTGTGACAAATAATTATACCAGATAATACAAGGTGACTGGAAGGTATTAATTATCACCAAATTAATAGTTTTATAAAACAAATATTGGTTTATTTTACTCACATTACGACTGGTAGCACAGTTCAACATATGCATTAATCCGAGAAAAAGTGACCATGTCATCAACTGTCGGAAAGGCGCCCAAGTAGCAAACATCTTAGCAGTATCCAGCTCTTTTACCTAAGATAGAAATTGAAACATAGACATATTAGTACAGTTAAGTTCTCTAAGTATCAAGCATAATTTAAATATGAAATATATAATCAAGTTGATATATATATGTAAATTATTAATATGAATCTTTTCTTAGGCTCTTGTAAACATTGTCAATAGTTTGACAATAATTTATTTATTTTAACAGATATTTTCCGTGCGATTCTTTAATGCATTCATAACCTTGTCTATAACATATCTATTACAAATACAGTTTATTTGCTTGTTTAATGCCAAACTGCAAGATTTTCATTTCCCTTTCGGGGTGTGTTCTTTATTTTGATTTTTGTTTTGCAAATGTACATGTTGAATAGTGTTTTTGAGGTCAAATGAAATACCTATTTGTGTATTAATAGTTTATTCTACGTCTTAAATTTAGACAGTTAAATCCAGTAAAGACTAGTTTTATACATTACAGCCAAAATTGTAAGCTAACAGTGAATACTGGCAGACATTCTTTATTTCCTCTTACACAAGATATTATAAATATTTTAACAAAAACATTAACAACATTAGGATAAAATTAAGAGAAAATTGAAAGGGGAGAGTGCATATTTTTCAAGAACAGTTTGAACAACGTCTAACAACGTTTATTACGTTTAACTAAGGTCATCCACGGTCTACTACAGTCAACTACGGGTAATCCCCCACTACAGTCAACTACGATCATCCCCCACTACGGTCAACTACGTGCGTGACCGTAAGATGTGACCGCGGCTTATACAATGATGCAAAGGAACGAAGAGACGAAGATGTAAGGAACAAGTACCTTTAGCTCTACACTACCATTAGTAGATTCCCTGTCAGCGTTGAAAATGCCATTTTAAGTAAGGAAATATCGTGCCATGGAACGTTGTGGCGCATTCAGTAATATTTAATTGTATCTCCATGTCATCATTGCCGTGATGGTGAAATACCAGCTCCATTATACGTCCCTGTTCCTACTGAAGTTTTGGCTTTGGGAAGTTCATTCGGTGTCAGATAACACCGAAGGTCCCAGGTGAGATCTTTACTGGTGGGATTGAAATTACCACATCTCATTTGAATTTGTACAATGCTTACAGGAGGCATACAAAGGCAATAACGACTGTGGACACTATAACGTAATTTTGTATCAGACGTTACGGAAATGTCGTGTGTTTACCTGTGGTCACATGTAGGCTTGAGTACGCTGTAACATACCCTATACGATATGTTCGAGAAAAGGACATGACCCCTGCTTTTGCTTCTCTAAGTCTCGGTCTATGCGCTCCGTGGTAGGTCTACCCCAACATGACAAATGTCTATAGTATTGTCAGGCTGTAGACAGGTATAACTATTGATGCGCAATAGAGCGTGACGAGTCACCGATCGTTAGTTGCACTACAGGTGAGTGTATATAAACGATATAGTACAAATATCAAAATAGTATGTCCAATGCAAGGCAATCAGATGACATACTTTACCTTTTTTAGTACAACTGTAATCTCCGATAATATCATCCCTTAAGAACAATGTCTAGTTAATACAGGTAATTAGTAATTCTAATAAATATTACAATATAGTCACACAAGAATCATAATATCTCACCATTCTACCTTAGATCACTCGGTTCATACATATCACTTGGTTACTAGTATCTATGTATCTGGTCTCGCTGCACCGTACCAATCCAGGTGTTTTATGTCTGGTACAATATGTATACACATAGATAAGACATGATGTCACACTTACACCCAGTGTACATTCGTCGAGGGGGTCTGCTAGGCACAGTATTTATGATAAACATGTATTAATGTTTACATTGGCAACAATAAATACACGTATATGGCATTCCCAGGGTGAATTAATTACATTATTACCAACAATAGGACATAGGCATGTCAAATATGTTGATATCACCACACCTTATAAAATGCAGCAACTAACTTAGTGTAATATGTTTCATTCCACATAGACGTCGACATGTGTTTACATGTGTTTCAATGGCAATGATAACATACAATTGTTCATAACAAGGGCTAAACTATAATAATTTGACACTGTTTAAAGTACGCATATGACGTTACCTGCCACACCGGCTTATCATATAATTCACGCAGTTTTCTCTTAATTGCATTAACTTTGTTGGTACATGTATCTGTAACATTTAGAAACATTATTTAAAGGACAGATAAACAGATAACGTATACTCACAGTGTACTGTAATCTTATATTCAAATTTGTATTTCACACAGCTCACGTCTGTACCTCAATCATGTAAGGAACAATACAAAAATAGAGAGGAGTACAGTTTATTTATAGTTTAGTTTATATTTAGTTTTTGGAATTCCGACCTGATAACGGTTGATTTTTTAAAAGATATCGTCCAGATAGGCCTACAAATAATGTCACTGGTTTCACAATTGTGTTTATCGTTGGCTGTCAACTTTCTATGTAGTAATACGAATGAAATCGTGAATGAGTTTTATCAGAATGATAGGTTTGCACTTTACGTTGGCCTTATGGGTATCTTGGTGGTAGGATGGTAAAACTGGGTTTAGATGTATGTGATGCTGGCAACTCACAAACCATGAAGGTAGACTTGTCCAGTCACTTGGTTAAGTTTGCCAAGTAGTGCCATAACATAATCCCCGAGTGAAAGAAACTTCGATCTAACAGACATACTGGATTCGTCTTTATTAGAGGCTGTGAGATTGCACAGAAGATCGACGAGCATTCACTTTCTACAGTCAGTTGTCCACACCGTTGTAGCCCAAACAAAAACACGATATGCTTTGACAAGTGATGGACATTGGACAATTTCAAAAAGACTCACTTGCTACTCAGAAGATATGACACTGACTTGATTTGTCATGGGATAGAAAAAGTCAAATATGTGTAAGCTGATCATGTGGGACTATATATATATTATATTGGTCAATCTTTATTTGTTATTATATAAGTAAATAACCAACATATCATTCAGCTTATAATACTTTGAACGATGATAACGCATTCATTCCTAAAATTTCATAATGAATTATTCCAACCTTTGAATCGGAAGAGTTCCAATGTGTATTCAGGGGATTATAGACGTTACGCATGACTCACCTTGACGTGCTGTGTCGCAACTTAGAACCTATTATTTGATACCCGGGACGATTTACAACCTTACACGTAAAGTAATCTAATATCTGCATATCCTTTACTGGCAGACTGTGCACTGTAGAAACTTCACATATAAAGGAATGTAGGATTGACGAGGCCTGTTTTTTATATAAATATCCGACAATGGCGTGAATACATCTTATGCACACTGCCTGCATGTCAAAAGGCGGCGTTAAGTTAGTGGCTCATTTGAAACATGTTCATACACATACGGAGAAAAATAGATTTGACAATGGTTCATAATAACACATCTTTTCAGTCTTCACTAAGAGTCATCTGTGGGAAGAAAATAATACTTAAATTGCTCCTTATGTATAGCTGGCCATCACACATGTAACGTAAAGCCAGTTACCATGTATACTCGGTCCGTTACAAATTTAATGTTCTTTAATTAACGTAACCAATATATGAGAAATGTTGACGTAAATTCCCTTTGACGATCAGACAATATGATTTTGTTTAAGTGTCGTGTAAACCGTAGGCCTAGATACATGTATGTATATGTGCTTCATAAGTATAGCCGACCACTGCGTAAAGCTATGGAGTCACCATGTATAACCGGTTCGTCGCAAATTACATTTCCATTCATTTCTGTTACTAATCGATAAAAAATTGTACTTACGTCCAGATCAAAGACACTTAAGGAACGTTCCACTTATATTGGAGATAATCCGATTGAAATGCCGTGTAAACAGTAGATACAAATGTCGTGTTACGATTTATTAGTGAAGAGTTATTTCCCTTTAGTTTGCGCGTATTACCGAGGGAAGATTGCAAGGTCAGGACAGTCGAGATTACAATATTTAGGGACGGGAAACGTGTGGAGTTCATCAGACCTGTAACTGAACTTGGGGTGTTATCCAGTGACTAAAATCTGAAAATGGAGTGAATCTCTTTATTTGGGCAGGGGTATTTCCACCCAACCAATCCCATACGTAAAAAATACCTAGGTATACCTCACTGTTATCTCACTGATCAGATGATTCATAATCATAGGTTTATATATCTACCGGGCAATGCGAACATGACACAGTTTGGTGCATATATATTCCATACTAACAGTCAGTGTAAATTGGTAATCTATGAAATATATTAATTTGGCGGTAACACCGGTAAAATCATTTTCTATCAAATATGTGGCAATGGTATAAAGGTATAAATAAAACTAGTATAAAGCATTATGTATTCTGGTTATTGACATCATTTTGTTTCTCTTAAGCCCAATTAATTCTAACATATTTCATATCAATATCAACATATCAATCAATAAGAAAGGTACTTACTATTAGATATATGACTTTTGAGGTCCTGAAGTTTCCTTCGAGTTCAAATAATCCGTACGTTTCTAAAATGACGTATAACAGTAATTACCACCGTGTCTACAAGACACGGAACATCTGGTTGTGACAGCTCAGGTGTTGTACAGGTAAATATATACATGTATTTCTTTGCCTATAAATAGTCAGGGGTATTTCTTTGGAAAAACCTGGACCTACGCGTTGTGTAAGTTAAGGCTTCGTTTGCAAGTTACAGTATTGTTAATTTATGTGGAGTTCTGAACAAGTGATTATTATTAGTGTTTATATTTCATTAATTAAGATGGATGTTATTTGTTTTCTCAATTAAAAGGTAAGTCAGTTCAGAGGGTCAGTTTGGTGTTTTACCATTTATTGATAGCTCAGAGATAAGGGTCCAGTAGCGGAGTAGAAATTGATAAGGTCAAAGGTTATGAGCTTCTCTGGTATGGGTATCTTCAGACATCATAAGGGTAAGATACAAACAAGTTTGTTGTCATTTTGAGAGACTGGTGTATGAGGTATGAGGTCATAACTTGGGTAAATGGGAAGGGCCTGCATATTTAATGAGTTGGTCAGTTGCTGGTATTAATAGATTTCCTAGCTATACGTCTTGATCTATTATTAGACACGACCTCTGTATTTAGTACTAGGTGGTTTCTATAGTTTGTATTTAGAAGTAGCCCTATCTTTAGTTTATCTTGTCTCTAGTTATATATAGTAAATGTCATCAGCTAACTTTAGAATGGCTTTGAGTATATTTAGATGTCAGTGTCTTAAAATAGTTGTAACTATATAAAGGGTTGTTAGGGTGTTTGGAGGGGAGATCAAGAGTGTGTCGGAGGAATTAAGAGGTTGTCGATAGATGAGGAGTTTTTGTTGAGAATGGAGTTTTTGAGGAGATTGAGAGGAGAAAGGGGAGTCTTGAGAGAATTCTATGGAGAGGATTAGTGATGACTCGGAGAGTATTTTGTAGACTTATGAAGAGTCCTGTGAAGTAATTGGTAGTGTATAGAGTATTAGTTAGTTGAATTAGTTGATTTAGTGTAAACTTCAGTTGTTATTTAGTTATATTACTTTTGAGTGACATTTCCGGACTTATAGTTAGTTGGTCTTAACTATATGTATTAGAAGGAATATCAGCCTTCTTGATTTTATCCTAAATTGGATTATTTCTAGGTGCGTCAAATTTACTTGGATCATACATTTTCCTCCTGCAAACACTTCTAGGTAACTTTATTCACTTACATGTAAAACTTACGTTTACTTTGTGAAAACGTGTATGTTGTGTGTTTATCTCTCGCATTTGCAAGACCGACTGGACTTTCATTTAACATAGAGTAATTAACAATTACATTAATAGCGAGTTAGTGTCAGAAATGGAAACGTAATAGTTTGACACAAGGCACAATATACTTTAAACTGACAGTCAATGAATAAAAACAAATGTTTGGATGCAACACCAGTAACATTTCTTTCTACCAAACACATGGAAATCTGATTCTGGTTTTTATCATTATTTTGTTAATTCCAATTAATTAATGATTTAACTGATTTTATTAGGCAAGAACTAATGAAAATGCTATGCCTTCCATCACCTATATTTTCAAACGGTCATTGCAACATGTATCATTCTATCACGAAGGTCATTGTAATTAGGTCACGAAATTATATTTTTTTTACACAAATTGAGCAATTACTTGCTAAAATTGTAAATGTAAATCATTGTTCGAGAGATAATCTTTTTGACAATAAATGTTATCTTATATGCTTGTAAACATTTTCGTCAGGTTGGTAAGTTTGATTTATAGAAAGGTTATGTATCACAGCCAGTAAGTGTTTATGTGTGACGTTTTGATGACTTGTATGCTATGTACACTGTCACCTTCATCAAACAAATGACCAATAAAGCGAGGTGTTAATTACGTACGAGTTGGCAATATAAAATCAAACCATCTATCCCTGTACGCTATGGGCGTATGTTATGTTATGTTGAGCATATTTCACCTTATTTTTATACCTGAGAAATAAATCTTGAGAGTTATTAGTTTGTTATAATAAACCATGACCTTCGTATATTTAATATCATTTGAAAATGTTACCAACATTGTGAACCTACAGATC